TTCTTACACAGTAGGTTACAGAAGTAGCTCTTCGTGTTGAGGGCTCCGTGCGGATTTTGCAGGACCAGGAGGATTCAGTTAGTTCAGTTTTCCATTAGGTGAGCATCCTTCCACTCCTCTCAGTTCACTGGTGGAAGTCTTCACGTAGACTTTTAAAAAAAAGCCTCTCCTTTTTTTGGTAAGGATGATGGAAAACTATTTTGTTACAAAGGTTTTGAAAGACAACGTAAATAAGAATTGTGTGACTTTTCTGTTAAATGGGGATTATGTTAATAAAGTTAAAATATGAATCTTCAATTTTATTTTATTTTTTTTTTTATTTTTTGGACAGGCAGAGTGGACAGTGAGAGAGACAGAGAGAAAGGTCTTCCTTTGCCGTTGGTTCACCCTCCAATGGCTGCCACGGCTGGCGCCCTGCGGCCGGCGCACCGCGCTGATCCGAAGGCAGGAGCCAGGTGCTTCTCCTGGTCTCCCATGGGGTGCAGGGCCCAAGGACTTGGGCCATCCTCCACAGAGAGCTGGCCTGGAAGAGGGGCAACTGGGACAGAATCCGGCGCCCCGACCAGGACTAGAACCCGGTGTGCCGGCGCCACAAGGCGGAGGATTAGCCTAGTGAGCTGTGGCGCCGGCCCCAATTTTACTTTAAAGCTGTAAGTTTTAAGACATTTTTTTAAAGACATTAAAAAAGTGATGCTGTACTGAATCCTTGTGTATCTGTCATCACCTTCAACCATTATCACTAATGAATTAATATTGTTAACTTTTTATAGGTCCCAGTTTATAGTTGAAACTGGCGAAGATTCTTACTTTGGGGAGACACTGTTTTCTGCTGAAGTAGGACATAAGAATTTCTGTAAAGAAGATAGGGAAGGAATTGAATGCCGCTCTACTGCTTTCTGAGGTTCTGCAGTGAGTGGTGATGAGGCTAGCACTCTGTGTCACAGTCTGTGTGGTCGGACAGCACCCCTGTGCTCCCAGTGCCCAGCTTAGCGGGGAGCCTTCTCACTGCCTCCTGAGGCCCGAGTGTGCTCCAGATCACATCCTCGCCCTCCTCCCTCCCTCCAGTAGTTCTGCCCCCGCACCCAGTGTTCACCCCAGGGCCACTGTGTTGATACTTCCTGTAGCCCTTCTGCCTAGACCTTCCTGCAACCCTCCTTAGCTCCTCATTCTTCAGACCCTTTTCACCCTCTCGTAAGCTTTGTAGTTTACTTTTTTTTTTAAAGATTTATTTTACTAGAGAGAGAGGTAGGTGGGGTGGTCACTTGGTCAGTCTTCCATCTGCTGGTTCACTCCTGAAATGGCCGCAGCAACCAGAGATGGGCCAATCTGAAGCTAGGAGCATGGAGCTTCTTCCAGGTCTCCCACTGCTGGTGCAGGGGCCCAAGCACTTGGGCCATCTTCTACTGCTTTCCCAGGCCACAGCAGAGAGCTGGATCAGAAGTGGAGCAGCCAGCACCTGGAACCGGCGCACATAAGGGATGCCCGCACTGCAGGTGGCGGCTTTACCTGCTGTGCCACAGTGCTGACCCTTATTTTACTTATTTCTTCTCACTTGGCTCTGATGTAATTTTTTTATTTATTTTTTAAAGAGTTTGTTTATTTGTTTGAGAGGTAGAATTACAGACAGAGAAGGGAGAGATGAAGAGAAAGATCTTCCATCTTCTGTTTCACTCCCCAAATGACTGTAATGGCTGGAGCTGTGTGACTCGGAGGCAGGAGCTTCCTCTGGGTCACCCATGCAGGCATGGGGCCCAGGCACTTGGGCCATCTTTTACTGCTTTCAAAGGCCATAGCAGAGAGCTGGATTCGAGGAAGCAGCCAGGACACTCATCGGCACCCTTTGGGATGCCTGTGCTGCAGCCTGAGGCTTTACCTACTATGCTGTAGCACTGGCACCTGATACAGATTTTATGGGGACAAAATGTCTTGTTTGTTCATTGCTGTATTCCACCACTTAAAACAGTGGTCATTGGATGAGTTTGGTGGTCATCATTTCTCAACTTTGTCTTAGTTTTGTCACTTTTGAACTCTATTGGGGAACCACACTGTGTGTCTTTTTTGGTGACTTGCTTTCTACCCATTCTGCACTAATGCTTCCAAGACTCAGCTGTGGTGCTGTACGCTTTTAGAGTTCATTTTTGCTGTGGATAATTCAGCCTGCAGTTGGTGGGTGTTTGGTGTGTTTCCAGTCTTGCTGCTGCTGCACAGTGGGAAGCTCCTTTGCCCAGGGGTGCGGCTGTGCCTGGCCTGCATGCCGAGTCGTGAGACTGCTGGGTCATGGACCAGCCAGTCTGTAGCTTGACTGCTTACTGCCAAGTTGCTTTGCAGAGTAGTTGTTCCAGTTTATATATCCACGAATACATGGAGCAGTTCTTGGTTGCTCCACATCCTTGTCAGTGGTTTATTTTGTCCGACTTTGTCAGTTTTACCAGTCTGGTGGATGTGTCATAGTATGTTATTGTGGCTTTAATTTGAATTTCCTTTATTATTGATGTCAAGCAATTTATTGACCGTATCTGTTTTGTCTTCTGTGAAGTACCCGTGAAGTCTCTGGTCTATTTTCTTTCTTCCTGTGCATTTTTTTATTGTTCTGTGTCTGAATTACAATTCTTTTTCATTGCATGTTATGGATATTTTTCTGCAATTGATGGTTTATCTGTTGCCTTGTGATATCTTGGAACTAAAGTTCTTTAATATCATTGGCTTTGTCACTCCTTCTCTTGACTATTATCTTGCTGTATGTGATGGTAACTTCTGATGTAAAGTGTCATTGTTATTTAGTTCATAAGCCATTTATTTTTTCTATTCAAGCAATATGGCCACTGTGTAGGCATGTTTTCAAATTTCCATTAAGAATCCTTGGGTGATTCATGTTTTATTTTAACACGTTGATAAATTCCAAACAGCAGAATTTTCCCCCCTTTTTTATTTTGAGACTGACTTCTAAAATTGGATTATAGCTAGACAGTGTATTATGTATGGGCCCAATTCTTTGAACTTAGTGTTACCTTTAAAAAAAAAAACAAAACCTTTATTTTAAAGACAGAGATGAGGGAGTGACAGAAGGAGAGGTCTTCATCCTCTGATTCACTCTCCAAGTAGCCAGCAGCCGGGGCTGGACCGGATTGAAGCCAGGAGACCCGTGTTATCTTACATGGACCTGATTTGTAGTTGGATTTGGCTGAGACTTTGGTTCCTACTCGGAAACTTTTCATGTGAAACTAAGCTTTTTAAAAGTTGATAGTTTCTTACATTTCTTTTTGCCTCAGGAAACATTTATGCTGATGGTGTTAACGTCCATAATCAGCTGTGGGCTCTGGGCTGCCCACACTGAAGCATAAAGACAAGCACTACCTCAATTGCTGGTTTGTTTTAGCTCAGCTGACACACAGGGGTTCATGCTGTGACTGCAGCTGCTTTCCTGGCAGTGGCATTTGTTAATTAAGCTGTCTAATTTTGTGTGGCTTTCTCAAGGACTGGTTAAAAAAATGAACTTAACAATTTTTAGTTTGTGTTCAATTTGAGGGCTTTTAGCCTATTTGTATCTGGGTATCCATTTGATTTTCATTTTAAAAAGCAGCGTTTAACTCGAATACTGTCGAAATTAATGGGTCAGATATTAAATTTTATGTGTCCTATACGCCCATAAGGTCTCAGTCGTTGGTAATCGAAAGTGTCTAATTTGTGTTGAGAGACAGACAGCGCAGTCTCACAAAGAAGCATTTTATTTAAGAAACAGAAGACCTAGGTTGAAGTGCTGGCGCCCTGCCTTTGGTCATGGGATTTGTGGCAAGTTACTTCGTGTCTGTGCTGCCCGGTGCCCTTTTCTGTCAGATGCAGTGTTTGTGATCTCAGCCTCCGTGTTGTGCATGCTGTAGAGTGAGCTGCCGTGTCAGTGTCTTTAACAGACTTGGTGGTGTTCACTACTGATGGCCCAGCCTTTCCATCTGTGTGTCCCACCAGTTGGTTCTGGAGCTGGTTCATTCAGTTAATTCATTTGTTGAGCGTGTATTAGATACTGTTCTGTGCCTGGTACAGTGGTTAAGCCCTAGGGTATCAATCCGAGAAGCATGTGAGACTGATGGGTTTCAGTGCCTGCAGAATGATGTGGGCACCACGCTCTGCGAACCCGCAGGATAATCTCCAGTGGTGCCTGAGCTCGGGGTGGCAGACTTTCTGTTAAAGGATAAATACTTCAGTATCTGGGGGGCCACGTATAGCCTATTACGTGTTCTTTTTTCTTTCTTTCTTCCCCTGCAAAACACCTCTTTAAAAGTGTAAAAACCATTGTTAGACCTGGAACCATACAAAAGCCGGGTGCAGCCAGCTCTGGTGATCTCTGCAGATGTTAGTGGAGTGGAAGATAGGAAGCAGGAAGGGCGTTCCACTCCTTTGGAAGGCAGGGAGGTAGGAGAGGCTGGGCTTTTGTGGAACTGAACGTCTTGTCAAGCCTGGAGTTGTCAGGTTGGGTTGGGTGCAGGAGGAGGTGCCATTAGGCAGCAGCAGAGCGGTTGTGCTTGATTCTGATAGACATTTTTCATGTCTTGGATGGACAAAATCAGGCTTATAAGCAGGCCTGGTGGTTAAGCTCAGGAAGGAAGGTATTTCAGTAATCCCCAAGAGGTTGGGGAAGTGTCTTGCCTTCTGCCCTCCAGCTAGTGAGTGTAAGGGGCAGAGTTCAGATCTGATTGCACAGTGTCTGTCTTTTACTTCTAAGATTATGTTGTACAAATAAACGAAGAAGGCCTTCGGGAAATGGCGAGGGAAGGACTGATTTGAAGCTTCCTCCGTGGGAGTCACTCTGCAGGCTGTGGCCGGCTTCTGAGTGGAAAGGCTGAGAGGAGACGAGGGTCACTCCAGAGAGGCTCCCCGGCTCCTTGGGTGAGTGGCTCATGGCGCGCTCAGTGCTACTTTGCCCCCGGAATATACTCATCTTCAAACAGCTGGCTTTGAGGAGTCGACCGTCTCTTCGAGGCCCATGAAGCCCTGAAACTGTAAGCGGATTGTTTATGAACGTGTCTTTTTCCCTGGGGATTGTAGAGCTGTCATCAGATTTCTAAAGGAGGACACATCCCTTGTTAGACTGTCCACATCTGGTGCACTGTGGAGGTTTGTGGTGGTTGGGAAAGCGAGTCACTCAAACTGCCAGGTAAATGCGGACACGGCGGCTGTTCACTGAGTTCAGCTGCATCCCTGTGCTCTCCCCGCTTCTTCCTTTCCCCTAAAGGATAAAACAAGACATATTTTGGGTAATGGAAGGCCAGCCAGGTTTTGGGGACTCTGGATTGGCATGGAATGTGTTCAACATGCTTTTGGATATTAGGCTCTTCAGCATATTTTAATATTCATATGGCTGTGAGAGATGGTGTCACTTTTAATTAGCATGTGCCAACATCAAGAATGAGTTCCGTTTCTTTTATTCAGGTTAGAAATGTGTGACTAATGAGTTGTAAAACAATACTTAATCCTCTTGTTTTAGTGAGTCCATAGGTACAAGAGCAGGAGAAACAGGGCAGCTGGTGACTACTTGAGAGCACGTTGATGTCCTGGAGTTTGCAGTGGTTCATTTTGAATGCCAGCATTATTGCATGTAATTTAGGAATTACAGACTACGGATAATAGCAGTTCCTGCAGAGACCTGGTGAACTTGGTGAGATTGCATTGCGCCAGACGGGGTAGCATTTCAGGAGTTGAGGTTGGAGGTAGAGTTCTGTCTGAGAGTTCTCTCCTGTTGAGAAGAATAGTGACCTTTGTTAAGGGCAGATTATCATGAATGCAAAAGGTACAAGGGAACACATACAGGGCAGGGTGCAGGAGAGACCAGCTATCAGTTTCTGTCCTCTTTCACTGGGGTTGTGTGGACAGTGCCTGTCGGCCTAGCAGAGGAGTGGTGCAGCATGCACAGAGATTGTTAGCCAGCAGAGCTCCCCTGAGCCTGGGTGTCTAAGGTGTCTCTTGGGGTTCTCTTGCGGGCAAGGCTGACTGCTTGCCTGCCGAGGACAGAGCTGGTGTCCCGTGCTGCCCAGTGTCCGGGCAAGCAGACCGCTTTCTCGGGCAGGAGATTGTGAAGACTTGGAGGTCGCCTCCTTGAAGGTGGGCAAAGGGCCGACCTTCTCTTTGGGCAGAGTTAATCCTTTACTACCTGAACCCTAGAAAAGCACATTTTTATTCCTGCTGTTACTAGGGAGCTCAAGAAATTATTTTCCTTTAGGTAGAAGGTCTGTTGCAACCACTTGCAGTCTCATTTACCACCAAACTGAAACAATTAAAATGTCTGTACACACGTGAGGGTGTCTCCCGGAGTGTGGCGTACTTGACACCTGTCCTGTCTGACATTTCCATTGTGATTTGAATAAAGAACAGAAGTCAAGCTGGGAGACAGCTCATTTTTAGAATTAGGATTTTAAAATATTTTGACAGGTTATAATGAAGTGCTAAATCAATAAGGTGAAATTTATTAGGAATAAATGTAAAATGGAAAATTTACTTAACAAGAAAACCAGCTAAGAAGAAAACCAACTAAGAAGTTGGTCACAATGCTGGCCCTTGGGGTTTGTTTTTGAGAGAGGAGGTGAATAATATTTTCCTTAATTGGGATTCAAAGTTAGTGTTCCCGGTTACCAAATTTAATTACAGGGTGGCTGGTGTTGTGGCACAGCAGGGTAAGCTGCCGTTTGTGATGCTGGCATCTCACATGAGCGCTGGTTTGGGTCTTGGCTGCTCTGCTTCCAGTCCAGCTCTGTATTTATGCTCCTGGGAAGGCAGGAGAAGTTGGCGCAAGTGCTTGGGCCCCTGCCACACATGTGGGACACCTGCATGGAGTTCCAGGCTCCTGGCTCTGGCCTGGTCTAGCCACAGCCACTGCACCCCTTTGAGGAGTGAACCAGCCGATTGAAGATCTCTCTGTCTTTCCCTATATGTAACTCTGCCTTTCAGATAAATAAATTAAAAAAATTTTTGATACTAATTGATACTTGCAAATTACTGATAAAAGTCCAGGACTATATATAAATATATATATTAAAGATTTTTTTAAGAAATTATTTGAAAGAGTTACAGAGAGAGGTAGAGACAGAGAGATCTTCCATCTGCTGGTTCATTCCCCAAATGGCTGCAATGGCTATAGCTGAGCTGATCTGAAGCCAGGAGCCAGAAGCTTCTTCCAGATCTCCTCTGTGGGTCTAGGGGCCTGAGGACTTGGGCCATCCTCGCTGCTTTCCAAGGTGCATTAGCAGGGAGCCAGATAGGAAGTGGAGCAGCTGGAACTTGAGCTGGTGCCCATATGGGATGATGGCCCTGCGGGCTGGGGCTTTAACCCACTGTGCCCTAGTGCCTGCCCCAGGGCTATACTTTAATTAAGCAGAATCATTGCTTAGAAGGCATTTGTAGAACTTATTAGGTTCTTTTTGATACTTGCCTTTTAGTATTTTATTACATTGCAGGTTAATCACTTTCAGTTGGTTAGGTGTAAGCTCCTCAATTGTGTAATTTTCTTTACACTTGCATCAGGGTTCTGGAAAAAAAGCTGCAGAAACGAAGAAACTAGCTGTGCACATTTGCACGGGAATGGAAACCCTGCTGCTTGCCTTAACTTCTGACAGCAGAAGTGCATCAAGAAGCTTGACGTCACTTGTGACTCAGATGGTAGCTCTCACCGCAGTGACTTTACTGTGGTATAAGTGTCTCTTATAAGCACTGTTTTGCCTTGTAAATTTAGGTTGAATTTATTAAGAAACATTATCAAATCTATAGCAAAACTCTCCAATATTTGATAAGTGATAACTGAGAGAGTCTTCAGAAAAAGTTATAATAAAGCCATAGATAATTCAGCTACTCAGATTTTGACAAAACCTTAGGGAGCTGATGTTGGAAGACAGAGTTATGTAGAGAGGTAGAGACAGAGAGAGAGAGAGGTCGTCCATCAGCCGGTTCACTCCCCAGATGGCCACAATGGCCGGAGCTGAGACAATCTGATGTCAGGAGCCAGGACCTTCCTCTGGGTCGCTCACGTGGTGCAGCGCCCCAAAGACTTGGGACATCCTCCGCTGCTTTCCCAGGCATGTTAGCAGGGAGCTGGGGCAGAAAGGGAGCAGCTGGGACTTGAGCCGGTGCCTTAGGGGATGCTGGCGTTACAGGCCAGGGCTTTACCTGCTGTGCCACAGCACCCGTCCCTCATTTAGGGATTTGAGCAGAGAAGTGATGATATCTGACTGGAACTGACTCACCTGTTTTGGAGTGGGTGCAGGAGTGAGCGCAAGGACAGACCGGGGACCTGTTAGGTGACTGTTGTGTGAATGTGGTGGCGGCTTGGGTCAGCTTGGTGATGTGAACATGGAGCACAGTGGGCAGTGTCTTTGGACATTAGCAGGATGAGCCTTCTATTTTGTTGACAAGAGTAGATGGGGGTGTGGGAGGAAGAAAAGAGTTGAGGATGACGTCTGCTTTTGGCCCGAGCGGAGGGAGTGTGTGGTCGTAAACTGAGATAGAGGAGACTGTGTGAAGAAGACTTGGAGGGTGAAATCAGTATTTGAGGTTTTTTGGGAAAGATTTGTTTCACTATTTGAGAGGCAGGGTTGCGGAATGGGAGAGGGAGAGGGACCCGGGTGCCTGGGGCATCCTCTGCTGCTTTCCCAGCACTCTAACAGGAAGCCGGACCAGAAACGGAACAGCCGGGGCTCAAGTTGGGCTCTTGCGGGACGCTGGTGTGGCAGATGGCAGCCCAGTCCACTACACAACTCTGACTCTGGGACTTGAGTTTTGAGATGTCTCTTGGATGTTTTATTCACTTACCTGTGGTAATGTTTCACTTCTGTAACGGATCTAGAAACTGGCTCTAACAGAGTGTATTCATCAGGGTTTGGGGAGAAGCAAGTCATTAGTGTAGGGCTCTCCCCCCACACGAAGCAGGCCATTAGTTCTGCAGCAGACACAAGCTGTCTCAGCTCAGTTCCGACGGCCTGCCTGGAGCCACGGGTTGAGGCTTCAGTCTTCCAGACTGTTCCCTGCCTCTTTAAATACTAGCTGCAAGCCCTAGATTGCTATGCCTGTGCGTCTGACCACCTGGCTATATTTTAGAGCTCCCACAACCCCTCCTTGGGTTTGATTAATAGGCTTGAACCCACAGAGCTTAGGGAAACACATTAATTGGTTTACTATAAAGGCTATTAAAAATATATAGGTGCAGCCGGTGCCACGGCTCACTAGGCTAATCCTCCGCCTTGCGGCGCCGGCACATCGGGTTCTAGTCCCGGTCGGGGCGCCGGATTCTGTCCCAGTTGCTCCTCTTCCAGGCCAGCTCTCTGCTGTGGCCCGGGAGTGCAGTGGAGGGTGGCCCAAGTACTTGGACCCTGCACCCCATGGGAGACCAGGAGAAGTACCTGGCTCCTGGCTTCGGATCAGTGCGGTGCGCCGGCCGCGGCAGCCATTGGAGGGTGAACCAGCGGCAAAGGAAGACCTTTCTGTCTCTCTCACTGTCCACTCTGCCTGTCAAAACAACAACAACAACAATATATATATATATAGGTGGAAGGATGCACAGCATGCAAGATATGGGAGAAAGGACACAGCTCTCACATCCCCTCTCCAGGCAGCACCCTCCAGCATCTTCACCTAGTTGGCTCTGTGGATCCTCTCACAGCTGTGTCCTTAAAAAAAAAAAAAGATTTATTAATTTATTTGAAAGAGTTACAGAGAGGTCTTCCACTTGCTGGTTCACTCCCCAAATGGCTGTGGTGGATTGGAAGTTGAGCAGCTGGGACTTGAACTGGTGCCCATATGGGATGCTGGCTCTTCAGGTGGCTGCTTTACCCGCCGTGCCACTGTGCCGGCCCCTCTTGAGTTTTTATGGAGACCTCATTGCATAGGTGTGACTGCCTATAGATTGGGTGGGAAATCTAACAGGCCTGGCCATTGAGGTTCTTCGGCATTCTTTGCTGCTGGGCGTGGGGTAGACGCCTTCTCAAATGGAGATCTTTGTCCTCCGACAAAGTAGGTCGGAGGAAGATGGCAGTTCAGAGCTCCTGTGACCTGCCTTCGGGAGAGAAATTCTCCTTTCTGTGGCCTGCCTTGGGGAGTGAGTTATGAACCAGGAACCATACACAGAGTCCAAAAGAAGTATGTATCATACTATTGCTGCCATTCCAGCACTGTGAAGTGTGAAGCAGAATGCTTCCCCGTGGTGGAAAGGCTGGGAGCGCTGCGGGTCAAGGAGACAGCTGTTCACAGGACTCTTCTCAGGGGCTCCTCTGGAGCAGCCAGAGCTCGGCAGGCCCTGCTGCTGCCCCCAGTGCTTCCTGTGCTGCTGCCGTGTCACGAAGGTCGCAGCGGAAGCTGTGTCGCTCCCTGCTGGAGTGGGTGACTTGTTCTTCCTCCTTTCCGGTCTTCCTGCAGCTGCCCCCAGACAACAGGGCTCTTTTTCATCTCACCAGTCTCACACGAGTGCCTCTCACTGCTCAACTAACCCTGAGTTGTAGCAGAAGAGGCTTCTGGGAATGTAACTGTGACCTCCTGCTGCACAGGAGACTACAGAAGGTGTTAGTGGTGCAGAGTTGACAGCAGTCAGTACAGCCCAGTGGCCAGTCAGCGGAGTCACAAAGTGAGGTGCCTGGGAGGTCAGCGTAGGTAGGAGGAAACTGGAAGGCTTTGGGCGGACTCTGGAGTTGACGGGTTGAGACAAGAGGCGCCGCACCTGAGACTGAGGAGCCAGTGGTGACCTAAGAACAAAGACAGAAGATGGTGTCCTGGAAGCCGGGATGCTGGCATTGAGAGTGATCGGCTGTCAGTTGTTTCTGACAGGTCAAATAATTGAGTATCAAACATTGATTTAGCAGTATGGAAGTCATTGGTAATCTTGGATAGAGAACTTTTGCTGGAGGGGTGACAGTCAAAGCTGGTAGTTTTTTGTTTTTGAAAGATTTATTTATTTGAAAGGGTTAGAGGGAGGGAGAGAGAGAGAGAGTGAGAGCGTGCACTTCTGTCCCCTGGTTCACTCTCCTAATGATTGGGGCCAGGCCAGGCTGAAGCTAGGAGCTTCTTCCAGGTCTGGCATTTGGAGGTGGCTTTATGTGCTATGCCACAACAGCAGCCCCAAATCTAGTGGCTTAAAGAGATAAAGGTAAGGGGCAGATAAAACCAACACCAGCGATGCTGACATCCCATATGGGCATCCCATATGGTTCAAGTCCTGGCTGCTCCACTTCTGAACCAGCTCCCTGTTAACGGCCTGGGAAAGCAGTGGAGGATGGCTCAAGTGCTTGGGCCCCTGCAGGTGGTGGCCGGATCTTCTTTCCTGCCCCAGCTCTGTGCCGGCATCCCATATGGGTGCCAGTTAGAGGCCCGGCTGCTCCACTTCTGATCCAGTTGTCTGCTATGGCCTAGGAAAGCAGTAGATGAATGGCCTAAGTCTTTGGGCCTCTGCACCCATATGGGAGACCGGGAAGAAGCTCTTGGCTCCTGGCTTTGGATCGACACAGCTCCGGCCGTTGCAGCCATCTAGGGAGTGAACAGTGGACAGGAGAGGTCTCTCTGACTCTGCCTCTCTGTAACTCTGCCTTTCAAACTAAATAAATAAATCTAAAAAAATTTATTTTATTTGTTTGAAAGGCAGAGTTGGAGAAATGCAGAGAGGGGCTTACTCCCCAAGTTTAACTATAATGGCAGGGACTGGGCCAGGCTGAAGCCAGGAGCTAGGAGCTTCACCTGGGTCTCCCACATGGGTACAAGGGCCCAAGCATTTGGGCCATTCTCCATTGCTTTCCCAGGAGTATTAGCAGGGAGCTGGATTGGAAGTGGAGCACCCAGGACTTGAGCCAGTGCCCATATGGGATGCTGGCACTGCAGGTGGCAGCTTAACTTGCTTTACCACAACTCTGACCCTGAAAAGCAGGATTTTTAAAAGACAAAAGGATAGTGCATAGTCAGACATGGGTGCAGGCAACCTTGTGAGGGAGGATTGCTGGGATAATTCTAACGCTCGAGTCATTTCAGTATTGGCTTGCTTTGATTTTCTTTTTCAATGGGAATTCAGATTTTGATTCTTCCTGTGTTAAGTTTCAGTTGCATCTTCCATGGTTTGGTTCTGTTAGGAGACTCTGGATCTTGTTTAAATCTGATGATGTGGTGGTTTGGATTCTAGCCTTCTTCCCTAATGCACCTGCTGCCATTTACTGCTCAGTAAGTAAATGGCTTCTGCAGTTACTGTGTCCAGGTGTTCTAGTTGTTTTTAAGGGGAGAGATAAGGTGGAGTGTGCTTATTCCTCCTTACCTAGAACTGCGGACTGCAGTGGGGCCATGATGCCCAAAGGACTTCGTATTTCTTTTAAAAGGTTTATATATTTTCATTTTATTTCAAAAGCAGAGGCAAGAGAGTACAAGCTCGCGAGCTTAAGATCTTCCATCTGCTGGTTCACTTCCTACATTTTTACAACAACCTGGACTGTGCCAGATTGAAACCAGACCTTGGAACTCAGTCCCTGTCTCCCCGCTTGGGTGGCAGGGACCCATTGTACTGGAGTCGTCATCACTGCCTTCCTAGGTGTGCGTCAGCAGGAAGCTGGTAGGACCCACAGTGGCTGGGCAGGATGTGGAGTGTTGTCTCCATCAGCGCCCTCCTCCAGTCACTCCAGGAGAGCTCCTCCCGGCTCCTCTGTGACTTGGATCCTTTTGGTGTCTCTCACTCTCGAGTCATTTGCTGTCTTTTTCAGGTAGGCAGCGTGACCTGCACGTGTACATGATAGCCATTAGTTCCTTTGCATATGATTCAAGGATGGCTTATTCCTGAGTAGTGATTGACTTTTAATTAGCTTCAGTAGAATGGTGTTTTTTTGTTTTTTGGTTTTTGGTTTTTTTTAATTTTAAACCGTTTACACTGAGATTTTGTGGGGGTCCTGTTTGTGATGTGGGTGGAATAGTGTGAAGAAGCAGGCTTTGGACTGATTGTGTTTGAATTCCTGATCTGATCCTTGCTCCTTTGATATTCGCCAGGCTGCTCAACCTCTCTGAATCTGTTTTGTCCCTCCCCCCATCTGTTAAGTAGAGGTTATAGTAACTTTAATAAATGTGATGTAGAGTATAGTTCTTATTATGTGGCACGTCATAGAAATAAGAGCTGTTATTTAGGGCAGAGTCACTGTGGTGTTCAGCAAGTAAAGTTCCTGACAATGTAGTTGTTTTCTGCTTTAGGGATTTAGAGACAGATCTTTATCTTCATCTGCTTTATATTGATCTAAGAACTGGGAAGCAGTCTGTTTGTCATTTGCTTGGTATACACAGTAGACAGTTTATTATTATTGCTAATATTGGCTTTTCAAAATGCAGTAGGCTCCCAGCTTCCTTTCCCCTGTGTGTTTATTCAGTCCGCAGTTTAGTCCCCATGTCATGGCGTACCTTGAGCTATGCAGTGGACAGATTAATGATGTACAGTATTCCCACTTTTGAACAGTGCCACAGTCTAGTGCTAGAAAGTTTTTTTGGCTAAGGAGTTATTTTTGAAGTATAAAGAAGCCTTTGTTTGCCCAGATGATTTTCACACTCACCTTCGTATTTTTGATGCATTTCTGATTTTCAGGAAGTTTACTTTTGACCTCTTTTCTTTCAGAATACGGGTTACAACTTGTGGTAGTACAGGAAGTTTTGGTAGACTGAGTTTAGAAGAAGGAAACCCATATGAAATGGTTGTATATTCTGAACGTGGAAGAGCTTCACGGATAACTTCAGGTGTTAGAATGTTATGGGTTAATACGTAGTGGTTGGGTTTAGGCCTTATTTGGAAGTTTACAAAAACATTGTTTTTCCAGGGTCCCAGCTTACTTGCTTGATTCCAGCCAGATGTCTTATTTTTTTTTGAAGAGGTTTTTTTTTATTTTGAAGCAAGAGAGAGAGAGAGATCGATCGATCAATCTTCTGTCCACTAGTTCACTCCTCAAGTGGCCTCAATGGCCAGAGCTGAGCCAGCCAGGAGCCAGGAGCTTGATCCAGGTCTCCCATGTGGGTGGCAGGGGCCATTTCATTCTGTACTGCTTTTTCCTGTGCTACTAGCAGGGAGCTGGATTGGGAGTGGAATAGCCGGAACACAGACTGGCACCCATATGGAATGCTGGCATCACAGCAGCGGCTTTACCTGCTACCCGACAATGCCAGCACCACTATATATTCTTTAATTTGTCAGTATGTCATATTGTTATGAGCCTATGTATCTTCTAGGTATCTTAATCTTTATTCCAGGTTCCTGTCCCCACAGTGATAAGAATTCAAAGCAGAGGCATAGTATAATGCACAGGTGAAGACAAGATTTATTTAAAAGAGAAACCATACCTGTCACGGTTGTGTGGAGTTGCCTCTGAGGAGGAGGGGCAGGGGAGGCCCTAGAAGGATCCCCAAGCATGGTTGTGACCTAAGAGGGCACCTCCCATGTTATCAGTCTCTTTTATGAGACAGGTAGAGTTCAGTGTGTGTGAGACTTCCTGGGTTTTCATGATGGCCTCTGTGAAGCGTTTAACTCCCAGTGTGCCATCGTGGTCTTGGTGAGACACTGCTGCATCCCAGGGAAGTGGGCAAATTAAATCGATAGAGTTGCAATGCAGAGCTGGCAGAAATTCTGACTCACTTATTTGTATCTAACCTTTTTTTTTTTTTTAAGATTTATTTATTTATTTGAGAGGCAGAGTTAGAGGAGAGACAGAGATCCTGCATCTGCCAGTTCATTCCTAAAATGGCTGCAATGGCCGATGCTGGACTAGGCTGAAACCAGGAGCCTCCCCTGGGTCTCCCACATGGGTTCAGAGGCCTAAACACCTGGGCCATCCTCCACTGCCCTCCAACACACATTAGCAGGGAGCTGGATCAGAAGTGAAACAGCCAGGAATTGAACCTGGGCCCATATGCGATTCTGGCGCCACAGGCTGTGGCCTTAACCCACTGAGCCACAGTGCAAGGCTTTGTTGGTGCCTAACCTTCCTGCCCGGTTCTCCATATCATTACTGAATGTCGCTCAGTCAGAAGAGTGTTTCTGTCCTGCTTGCTTCACCAAGTGCTGATCTTGTGTATTGTTGGAACAGTAACATTAAGTGATTTGGGAGGCCAGAATACCATTGTCATTTCAAGAGTATTGATAAGCTAGTTTTTGAATCCTGGATTTCTCCCTTGTTTGCTATGTGACCTTGGGAAATTTATTAACTTCTTTTCTTTTTTAAAGATTTTATTTATTTATTTGAAAGGCAGAGTTACAGAGAGGCAAAGGCAGAAGCAGAGAGAGAGAGAGAGAGAGAGAGAGAGAGAGAGAGAGGTCTTCCATTCACTGGTTCACTCCCCAAATGACCTCAGTGGCTGGAGCCTGGCTTATCCGGAGCCAGGAGCCAGGAGCTTCCTCTGAGTCTCCTACATGGGTGTAGGGGCCCAAGGGCTTGGACCATCTTCTGCTGCTTTCCCAGGTGCATTAGCAGGGAGCTGGATTGGAAGTGGAACAGCCGGGACTTGAACCGGTGCCCATATAGCAATGCCGGCACTGCAGGTGGCAGCTTTACCTGCTACACCACAGCGCCAGCCTCTATTAACTTCTTTTAAGACTTACTTTCCTTACATGTAAAATGGAAATAATAATAGCAGCCAGTTGGTCTTGTGAAGGGATAACTGAACTAACGTGCCAAACACCCTACAGATGCGAGCTTGTCCTCATCGGGAAGGTACCGACTGTCCGTGGTTAGTGAGTGGATTGTGGAAAGGTGTTGGGGTTGTGCATTGAAATGAGAGCACTCTAAGCAAGGTGGTGAAAGGCAGTATTCGATTGCATAATGAAGTACAGATTTGGAATGTGTCATTGGTGGAAAAGTTAGTGTGTAGGTTAGGAGGGGAAAAGAGTTGAGCAGCCCAGGTGTGTATTGTTCCTGTCTTAACTTAAACCCATTCATGACTAGCACTGTGGCATAGCGGATTAAAGACCCAACTGGCAGCACCAGCATCCCATATGGGCAGCGGTTTGAGTCCTGGCTGCTCCACTTCCCATCCAGCTCCCTGCTAATGCGTCTGGGAAAGCATCTGAGGATAACTAAGTGCTTGGGCCCCTGCACCCACATGGGAGACCTGGAAAGAAGCTCCTGGCTCTTGGCTTTGGCCTGGCCCAGCCCCAGTTGTTGCAGCCATTTGGGGAGTGAACCAGAGGATGGAAGACCTCTCTCTGTCTCTACCGGTCTCTGTAACTCTGCCTTTCAAATAAAAATAAAACAAAATCTTCTTTAAAAAAATAAACCCATTCATGCAGAAAGGACCAGGAGTACTCACCCTACAGATGCCTTTAGGGGGTTGAGCAAATGTTGCATGGTGCAGTAAGCCAAGTTTGTTATGTTTGTTTATTCATCTGGGACAAGGTGATTTAAGCATTTTAATGAAATGGTTCAGGAAATATCTGCTTTATGCCCTATTTGAATTAATTGAAATTTTCGTTCTTACATCTTATCAATTTCATAGTTAAAATATTGGTTTGTATACTTAATTAAGAGTGAGTTAAATAATGGGGTAAGTGGGAGAGTTAGAACTCAGCATGCATTAAGTTGCCTCTTGCTGTTTGGGTTTAGTACTGGTGGAATAGTGTTCTTATTGCTTGAAATACAAACCAAAGCAAAGGGCAATTATTCAAATGTGGCTGAGGCCCTCAAAGCTAGTACATGCATCTCTCTATTCCTTGGTGAGGTCACTCGTGCCTCCGTGAAGTGTGCGGTTGTCATGGGGCCTGGGTGCTGTTTCAGAGGCATGCGTACTGTTGGTGGACCGTGGTGGACGGAGACAGGATGTGGGGAGTGACTGGCTTGGTTTCTTTGCTCTCTGATTCATCAGGGGGGGAAAGCCTCTTGAGGAGCCTGATTTCCATGGATGCTGTTTTTAGGGCTACAGTGCTCACAGAAAGGCAAGCAGAGCAGTCTGCAGACAGCAAGTGTTTCCGACTGCAACTGGCTGGGACCTTCACTTTGGTTTTGTTTAGTAGTGCTTAAAATATTGACCTGGAGTGTAAGTCCTGAGGCTACAGAGCTGTCCCTGCAGTCTTGCTGCTTATCTCATGAGGCAAGATTGAGCGTTACTCAACGGAGTGCTGAGCAGGAAGCCACACCTCTGGGGCGGGGCCACGTCCCCCTTGCTCATTGCTGTGTCTCCAGTGCCGAGTGCGCTGTGTCAGTCGCTCAGGAAATTCCAGTATGCAGTGAGGGAATTCTGCCGGAATGCGGAAGAGAGGCAGGGCTGCTCCCACTGCTTGTGCGTCCAAGCAGAGCCAGGTGGAGGGCGCAGCAGATGGCACACAGGTGTGAGACAGGGTGCAGACTGCTCTGTAACGTTCCTGGAAGGGCATGGTGGGTGGGAGATGTCAGACTAGAAAGCTAGAGTGGGCTTGATCAGTCAGGAATTAGGGTTTCTTTTCTTCAAAAGTAGCAAGGACTGTTTTCGGCAATACTAGAAGTCAGATGTCCTGATGCTCAGGTGACCCTCTTTCATAGAACGTGGTACGTGCCATGTCAGGACAGCATTGTAAGGATTTGGTTCTGTATCCATTAGTGAAGGCTGGGTCATTGGAATTCTGTAAGCTGTGAGCGAACTTACACCATCTTTTGAGGAGAAGGATATAGCTACATGTTGTTTTCCTGTGGATAACGACTAGTTAAACTCTTTTAAGGATAAGCAAGGTCTGTCTATCTTTGAATTTTAGTTCCCCAGAATGGGGCTATTTGTGTTATCATTTGAGAATATCATATCATATTATCAGAATATGAGTAAATGAGGGGAAAAAAGAACTTTGTATATACTCCTGTAGCTAGCCCTGCACTTGGTTCTGAGACCTGGTCCTCATCCCAAGGTCTTTGGGGTAGGGCCCTGTCTCTGTGAAGTCACTCCAGTCATTGGAGGAAGAAGTACATGGTTGGTTATAGCACAGTGGGACAGGGTCATGTGATAGAGACATACATGCACAAGATAGTGTGTCCCCATCAATCTTGGGTGGGAGCAGGGTCTTGGCAGACTTGAGGTTCTACTTAACTGGGTTTTGAGGGCTGATGAGGAGTTAGGAGTAAGTTGGGTAGAGTAGAGGAAGGACCAGTGTTAAGGGAAAGTGGAGTAGTTGATGGGCGGGGCATGGGGAGATGATAGGAAGTAAAATAAGAAACTAAGGGTTCTGGTCATGGTCAGCTCTGTTTTGAGTGGGAGGGATGCTGTGAGATACAGTGGGGTCAGTGAATGCTTTGAAGGGGTGCTTTGATCGTGCAGATAAACATCTACAGGGTAAAGGAACACTGTTGGAGAACTGCTGTTCTAAGCAAAGAATTTCTAATAGCCTGATAATGGGGGCCATTGAAGACTTTTAAGCAATTGACATAATTCATTTTAGGAAAGGTCACTCTGGTACTGGTGAGGAGATTGAATGGAAGGGGGCACCACAGTAAAGAAGGATCTGTTAGAAGTTTATTGCAGTAATACAGTACCTGAGAGATCTTGGATCCGGCGCCCCGACCGGGACTAGAACCCGGGGTGCCGGCGCCGCAAGGCAGAGGATTAGCCTAGTGAGCCGTGGCGCCGGCCCTGAGAGCCTTGTTATTAAGAACTTGTCTCTCCTGGACAAGGTCTGTCAGTTTTTTGTGTGTTCATTTCATTTTATTTTTCCTTGCTTCTTTTTTGCCTTTCTGTTCTGCTTTCGTGGAGCTGAGTTCAGTTTGACTTAACCTTCTTCTTGAGCTTTTAAAGTTCTGCTTACCAGGTTCTTTAATTTCCAAAGACTCTTTTTTTTTTTTTTTTTTTTTAAGTTCCTTCTGCTGTTCTGTGCCCTCTGAGAGCATCCTTTAGGTGATCGCTAGTGTACACAGTCTCTTTTTCCTGACTTGCGTTTTCCCCTTTTCTTTTCTCCTGTTGTGGGACTCTATCTTTCTACATGTCAGAGGCTCTTCTCACAAGCCTGATACTATTTTCTTGAGATAAATCAAAAACTTCTTTGGAAGCCTTAAGTACATGAATGGAGCCTTTTAACTTACAATCAGGATATTCAGGGCAGACCGTTTTTTGGGGAATCCCCAGTATTGGCCTCTTTAGATCTTTCTTCTTAGACTGATCAGATTCCCCAAGAATATTCTAATGGTCTGTTTCCTGCAGGGTAGAGCCCTGACTCCTTTACGTGGAAGCTGTGTGGGTCAGGGGTGATGGAGGAACTGGGGCATGGGTTCAGTGGCCAAGTCCACCCCTGCTGAGTAGGGTTGGACTAGTTGGCTCTAGTCCAAAATGCTTTTTCCAGTCTTCTGTCAGAGTTGGGGAGAACACGTTCCATCAAGGCATGGTGATGAGGCTCCTGTTGCAGTGTCAGCAGACTTCGCCAGCGCTGTACCTTGCCCCCAGTCTGTCTGCAGTAGGTGCTGCCGGTTACGAGCTGTCTGGGCACTGCCATGAGCAGGCGTGGTTCTCAGTGTTGCTGGCTGCTGGCGTAGTTAGGGTCTGGCTGTCTTGGGGCTGCTTAGTCATTACTGTGCTTCCAGTCTGCTATTGTTCCTGCTTCCTCCAAGTTTTTTTTCTTTTCTCCTTTTCCTGTTTGCCTTGATTTCTGTCTTCCTTGTTAGCTTTTCTCACAGCCTTGGAAATTTTGTGACTTTTTTCTTTATTCTGTTGTAATTCCTCTCTTGGTTTTTTACATTTTAAAAATCTTGTTTTTTAAAAATATTTCTTTAACTTTAGTGGGAGGAAGTGGAGTAGGTGTGTATGTTGTGTGTCATCTTACCCTGAACTTATTAGTTAACTGTATGCCAGATTAATTTATTTTGTTGTTGTTTTAGTAGTTTTCGGCTATCTGATTTGTATTCCTTCAATTAGAGTAAAGATGTAGGGGTGGGCATTTAGCTTACCCATCAAGGTACTCAAGTTTGTTATATGGCCATAGCTACTGATTCTAGCTTCCTGCCAATGCAGACTCTGGGTAGCAATGATGATGGCTCATGGCTCATATAATTGGGTTCCTGTGCCCCCCACCCCCGGCTCCATGTTGGAAATCTGGATTGAGTTCCTGCCTTCCTGTTTCAGTTCAACTCAGCCCTGGCCAGTGTGGGCATTTGGGGACTGAACCAGTGGGTTGTGGGTGGAGAGAAAAAAAACTGTGTCTCTTAAAAAAGAGAGAGAGTGTTAAAGAGGCAGAGAAACAGATATGCATGAATATGGGTTTGAAGACAGGCCTTGATTTCTTTCCATTCTTCATTTGAGCTCTAGTGCAATGTGCGTGGTAGGCCATGAAGAAGCCAAGTATAAGGTGGTGAACATAGTTGAGCTTCGGTAAAGCAGTGAAATAAAGGTGGTTATTTATATGCATCTTTTTTTTTTTTAAGGTCCTCTGACTGCTATGGACAGAAGAAAGAAACTAGGAGTATTTTAAAAATCGTTTGATTTCTTCACAGAGTTATTGTGGCCTTCTGAACTGTAAGTCTAAGTCTCTTGCTGCATCTGTATCTTGACTTTCTGCTTTATTATGTTTGTCTTTCACCTGTCTTGGGGTCTCTGACTAGAGTGGAAATGAAGGTAGTGGATTCGCAGAGTAGGTGAAGGGAGACAGTTGTTCATGCTGCCGAGTGTAGCTGCTTCACAAACATGGTTTTCTCTGAGATAGGAAAGAAGTATAATAGCAGTGGTTAATAACAGTTACAGTGTGCTTAGAGCAGTGTCTGATACGTTATGGGTGCTGTAAATTATAGTTACTGATTGGATCCTCACAGTAACCTTGTGAGGAAGGTTCACTGTTTACTCTGCTTGCATGAACTGAAATCCAGAGAAGACGAAGGTTGCTAAGTGAATGGCAGAGCTGGGCTTCCTACAGTGTGTGCTTCACTGTGTCTCTGGTGTCTGGACGCCATGTTGGGGCAGCCCCTTTATCCACTTGGGATACTTTCCAAGACCTCCAGTGGGTGCCTGAAATGGTGGACAGTACTGCAGCCCGTTAAGTACTGTGTCTTTTTCCCTTGCTTACATACCTGTGATAAACTTTAATTTATAATTTGGGCATAATCATTTAACTGTAGATCTTAGCAACCTCAGCCTATGATTGTTATTTTTTCTTTATTAGGTCAAGGACTTTTTTTTTTTTTTTTTGAAGACATATGTATTTATTTTTCAAGAGTTACAAAGTGGGACAGAGATAGTTTCCATTCTCTGGTTCACTCCCCAGATGGCAACAACGGCCAGCGCTTGTCCAGGCCAAAGCCAGGAGCTTCATCTGGGTGTCCTACGTGGACGGCAGGGGTCCAAATACTTGGACCAGGCCGGCACCGCAGCTCACTAGGCTGATCCTCCGCCTTGCGGCACCGGCACACCGGGTTCTAGTCCCGGTCGGGGTGCCGGATTCTGTCCCGGTTGCCCCCCTTCCAGGCCAGCTCTCTGCTGTGGCCCGGGAGTGCAGTGGAGGATGGCCCAAGTGCTTGGGCCCTGCACCCCATGGGAGACCAGGAGAAGCACCTGGCTCCTGCCATTGGATCAGCGCGGTGCGCCAGCCACAGCGCGCCGGCCGTGGCGGCCATTGGAGGGTGAACCAACGGCAAAGGAAGACCTTTGTCTCTCTCTCTCACTGTCCACTCTGCCTGTCAAAAACAACAACAACAACAACAAATACTTGGACCATCTTTCAGTGCTTTCCCAGGCCATTAGCAGGGAGCTGAATTGGAAGTGGAACAGCTGGGGCATAAACTGGAGCCCATGTGGGATGCTGACACTGCAGGCCATGGTGTTACCTGCTGTGCCACAGTGCTGGCCCCTACTGTTCCACTTTTCAGGAGGAGGCACCTTGTATCTTCTTGGCATATCTGGGTTGCCAGTGTCACTAGAGCACTCGAGGGTCATTTTCACATAAACAGAGATGCTTAAACAGAAGCTCCATCATGTGGCCATCGTAGATCTGCTGACCGAGAGGGCTGTGAAGCGACTGGTGACTGGGTAGCCTGTATGGCGTGGATATACCAGACGAGGACCGTGGGCGTCTCACGTGCGATGGTGGGGAGAGTTCATCATACTACTCACAATGGCGCATAATTAAAACTTAAAAATGGATTATTTCTGGAATTTTCCATCTAATATTTTCCGATCCTGGGTGACTGGAGCCCAGAAACAAGCTGTGAAGAAGAAAGGACTACTGTAATTTCTCTTATTATTTAATCTACCCAAACCTAGTTTTCTTGTCCGACAGAGATCATTCTAGGGTCTCCCCGATGGGATTGTTATCAAGATACTGTGGGCTACATGTAATGTGTCCAGCACTCAAAATGGTTAGTGGTTATTTAGTGGTATTTTTCTCATGTTAATGAGAGGAATACATCCCTAGAGAGATTAGGTGATTTGTGGTTTGCAGTATGTAGTGTTTTTCCACACTGTGTATTACGGAAGTTACAGAGTTGAGAATCTTTCCCACTTTGTTTTCCAAAGACTGCTATTTCTTCTAGGTCTGGTGGTAAATCAAGGATAGATGGGTTCATAGAAGAGTCACAAATCTCTCTTTTGGTGAGCGTTTTGTTTTACCAATATGTTGCTACAGTAAGTGCCTGATGATTTGAACTTCATGGAATCATGAATTCATGCTACTTTATAAATGTTGAATTTGACCTTGCAAATGTGTTTGGAGTAAGACTGCTTCTCCATGTATGGGTCAGTTCACCCTCCTCTTTTGTTCTCCTTGTTTGCTCACATCTGCCTGTGTTTCTGAGGATTAGAGAAGGGAAATTATGTCATGCCCTTTGAATTTCCTAGCAAGGCCCAGAAGTCTCACTCCTATTTATGCAATCCTGCTGCTCCTGGTGGGCAAAGAGAGAAGGGCCTGTTCGGTTCTCTGCTCTGGGCCATGAGTGATTGTTTTACACTTGTGAGGAGATCACAGCCTTGCTGTTGGAACTGTTTCCTCTACCCCTGTTTGTATTATGCTTTTCTTCTTACAGCCTGTTTCTTTGAGTTTTTGAGGGCAATATTTTTGTTACTTTATAAAATCTCTGCTTAACCCACTGTTAGTTTTCACTAAATGCTAAATGAGGTTTGTTTGTTTAAAGATTTATTTATTTGCAAGGCAGAATGATGGAGGAGGGGGAAGAAAGAGAGAGAGAATCAGTCTTCCTTCTACTGGTTAGTTCTCTAGATGGCCGCATCTACCAGGCCTGGTCCAGGATGAGGCTAGGAGCCTGGAACTCCATGTGGCCTCCGAGTAGGTGGCAGGGTCTTTAGCACTTGGGCCGTCTTCTACTGCTTTCCTAGACGCATGAGCAGGGAGCTGGATTGGAAGTGGAGTAGCTGGGACGCAAACCAGTGCTCATACGGGATGCTGGTTTTGTAGGAGGTGGCTTAACCTGCTGCACCACAATACCAGCCCATGAATTATGTTTACTGCGTATCCCAGAGAAGTTCTTTTTTCCAGCTCATCATTTGTTGGAGCTTCACAGCACCAGGACAGAATGGACTCATCTGGTTTGGCTTGCTCTTTGGCATTTGAAGATATATAAGCCCATGAAAACAGCCTCACGCAGTGTTCCTGTGCTGCCCTTCCTGGAGAAGATGGTCAGGCCCTGTGGGTGAGACTGCTCTCCCACCCAGGGGCAGGGTTGGTGCCGTGCTGGGGCCTGAATTCCACTGCACATGTGGCTGAGCTTCTGGCCCAGGGGAGCCCGTCAGGGTGGCTCTGCTTGCACAGAGCTGAGATGTGGTCCTTGCGTTGTTTCAGGTTGTGTGGAAGCAGACATTTGTGATGCAGTACTAGAACCCCCTCCTCTCGAAGAGCAAAGGAGAGTAGGAGGAATAGGTGTGGAGAGCACTTTCAGTCATGGGGTGTGGGGAGGGGGTGGAGGACAGAAAGGAAAAGCTGCCCTGAGACTTCAGACCCCTGTGTGTTGTGAATGCATGCTTAAAAAAAAAAAAGATTTATTTATTGGAAAAAATTAGAGGGAGAGACAGAGATCTTTCATATGCTGGTTCACTCCCCAGATGGCCACAACAGACCGGGGTTGGGCCAGGCCAAAGCCAGGAGCTTCTTCTAGGTCTCCCAGGTGGGTGGCAGGAGCCTGAGCCCTTGGATCGTCCTCCACTGCTTTTCCCAGGCCATTATCAGGGAGCCAGATCAGAAGTGGAGCAGCCAGGACAGGAACTCGTGCCCATGTGGGGTGCTGGTGTTGCAGATGGCAGCTTTACCTGCTATGCCACAATGCTGGCCACAAAGGCATCTTTTCTTAGCACCAGGGTATAGGAGTACAGTTGAGTTAGATGGACTCTGTGGTTGTTGTTGTTGTGTTTTTTTTTTTTTTTTTTTTTTTTTTTCCTGACAGGCAGAGTTAGAGAGACAGAGAAAGGTCTTCCTTTCCATTGGTTCATCCCCCATATGGTCACTACGGCCGGCACACTGCGCCAATCCAAAGCCAGGAGTCAGGTGCCTCCTCCTGGTCTCCCATGTGGGTGCAGGACCCAAGCACTTGGGCCATCCTCCACTGCACTCCCAGGCCACAGCAGAGAGCTGGACTGGAAGAGGAGCAACTGGAACAGAATCCAGTGCCCCGACCGGAACTAGAACCTGGGGTGCCAAAGCCGCAGGCGAAGGATTAGCCAAGTGTGGGACAGAATCCTGTGTCCTGACCGGGACTAGAACCTGGGGTGCCAGCGCCGCAGGCGAAGGATTAGCCAAGTGAGCCGCGGCGCCGGCCCGACTCTGGTTCTTAAACAAAAAGCTTCTTACATGTCTAGAATGCTAGGCACCGTGTTCGATGCTGGACTTTCCCATGTGAACTAGATGGACATGGTCCTTGTTCCTTCTAAATTTCTTTTCTTTGAGGGGGTACAGACAGTTTAGTTAGTCTTTTGGTGCATTTTCAAGTAGAACTAATAGGATTTGCTGACAGCTTGCTTGACTTTTGGCCTGGGCCAGCTAGAAGAATGGAAGACTGTGGGTGAATTTGGTTTCAAGGCATTTTAAAGTTTGATTTGTCTGCTGGGGATCCTAGCAGAGATGTCTGGAGCTTGGAAGAAAAGACTGGGCTGCAGGTGGACAGCTGAGGAGCACTGCTGACTGAGGCAGTGAGCACAGAGCGAGGGGGCGACCAGCAGCATTCTGGCGTCACTCGTCACTCTGCTCTTACGTGTGCATGGAGAGAGGCTGCCAGTGGGCACAGGGCAGGTGGAGTGGACAGAGGGGAGGAGGTGCTTCAAGGAGCAGGGTCAGCTCTTTCAAATGAGCTGCAAGGTCAAGATGAGGATTGAGGTTTGACTTGGAGTTAGCATCTTGGAGGTCATTTTGGTAGTATTTAGGAATGGGAGGCTGATTGCACTGTAGTTTGACGTGGGCCGAGTTCCTCACAGTAGTGAGTTAAGTTCACGTTTTTCATCACCATCTTGGTCGTCATGGTCATCAGTCTGATCTGCCACATCTGCACCAGGTGCTGTGCAACCCAGTCAGGTGTGGAAGGTAAATTGTGTTGCCTGTGTGTGTGTGTGTGTGTGGTGATTTTTCAGTTGAACACTCAGGTTCAAAGTAAAGCGGGTTCTCGAGGAGAAGTGGAGCTGGGACTTGCGGCGGTTGGTTCCATTGGCTGTGCTGCCTCCTCCAGGGTGCAGAGGCACTTGGAGCACAAGCTCCCTGCCCTTTATTCCTGCTCATTGCCCAAGAGATTTATAACTAGAAAATGGAATAGTATAATTTCAGATTTTCTGGGAAAACACAATCTCTTGAAAAACTTTTTCTTAATCAGAGATGTCCTTCCGTCCAGGGGTGGCCCAGGTCCCTGGTCCTGAGCAGTGTGTGGGATGTTGCTGTCCTGCCCTCCACCTCCTGCTCCACAGGGAACCCGGAATCATGCGTTGTCACTGTTTCTGGTGGAAGCTCGTGCCTCTGTTTCCAGCAGTATTTGTGTGCTAGTCATTGTGTATCTGTTTTAGACAAGTTCATTGTGAACTCTCAGATACGTGGAGATTTTCTGTCTTTGACCCACCTTCCTTCGTCTCCCCATCCTTCTCACATAATTCTATAATAGCCCAAAGAGTTTTGTAACCATGTTTTGGTTTCTAATGGTTTTGACTGTGTAAACATTGCTCACTGTTGGGCCAATTAATGTATTTCCTTTCTTCTGTTTTTCTTGTTTTCTTCGACTTAGAATTACTGTGTTTTGTTTTGTTTTGTTTTCTCTGCTTGCTTTCCTGGTTAAGAGCTCTCCCTGTGCTCAGGGCTCTGTTAAGTAAGGGTTCTGAATGAAAGGTTCCGTTCAATCAGGTCTGTTCACTGGTGCCTCTTTCCTCTGCGTGGGGCTGCGCCCCTGGCCCACTGTAAGAGGTACCGGCTTGGGGAGCCCGTGGCCCTGGGGTGCAGGAGGTGGACACAGTTGAGGAAACGTTGTGTTGGGAAGTTCAGAGGAAGGGAGATGGTTTCTTCCTGGGAGCTTTTCAGGGAGAGGCTGTAGGTGAGTAAGGCAAACAGGAAGGAGGTAGGCGGTCCTTTTTGGTAACTTAAAAGCTTATATTGTGGCTGGCGCCGCGGTTCACTTGGTGAATCCTCCGCCTGCGGCGCCGGCACCCGGGATTCTAGTCCCAGTTGGGGCGCCAGATTCTGTCCTGGTTGCCCCTCTTCCAGTCCAGCTCTCTGCTGTGGCCTGGGAGGGCAGTGGAGGATGGCCCAAGTGCTTGGGCCCTGCACCCACATGGGAGACCAGGAGAAGTACCTGGCTCCTGGATTCGGATCAGCGCAGCATGCCGGCCGTAGTGGCTATTTGGGGGATGAACCAATGGAGGGAAGACCTTTCTTTCTTTCTCTATCACTGTCTAACTCTGCCTACCCCCCCACCCAAAAAAAAGCCTATATTGTGGCATCTTGCAAGATTTTGCGTGTTAACATGGGAAATACAACATTCAGAATGTTTAACACGGATGATAAATTTCTGATGTCCAGTAGTCTGAATGTATGGTATATCAGGAACACTGAATTTCAGTGTTCTTAAACTGTTCGTTTTACGAACTGATTCATGGATATATCTTACAGGCATGGCACACAAACGTAAAGACCCTGGAATCTGGCTAACGGGACAGTTCGTCAGTGCACACATTAGTGTTTTGGTACCACACTTGCTTTCAGGCAAGAACAAGATGAATGACCAACAGGAAATTTAAGGAACTGCTTTGTGTTAGCTCAGCTGGGGAGAGGGCAAGCATGCCGTTGGAGAGATGCCACTTCATGGCATAGCTGACCGTCAGGGGTGACGGAAGGGCCCTGAGCACGTGGATCTCCCAGTTGGCAATGCCAAGGCAAGGAGGATGAGAAGTCCTTGGCCTTTGTGATCGCAGACGCCAACATAACCTTTTAGCTGTCCACTTACTGCCAGTGTTTGTTACCTGCTTCTCAGATTGTGCCTTCATGCTCGAGGGCTGTGAAGACTGCCTGTCTGATCGACGTTTGTGATTTAGGAATTATGGGTGAAGGAAATTCTAATCCTGTCAGCTGTCGTTTATGTCCGTCATTGTATGAATTTGAGTCTCTCTTAGTTCTCTACAGCAACTTAGTGAGGTGGTGATTATTTCCAATTTACGGATGGAAAAGCTGGGTTAGAGAAATTAGGAAATTTGCCCAGGTCCTGTTTGGTAGTACCACGTTCTTCAGTTCTTCCCCGGAGTGTGGTCCTTGGGCTCAGCCGTGCGGCACAGGTGGAGCTCCAGGCCAGGAGAGGAGTGCCGCCTGCCGAGCAGCCAGAGCCTTTCCCGTGTGCTGCCGCCCTTCCTGTAATGCCAGCCTTGTTACAGGGCGGTGTCTCATTTCTGCCAAGGATTGCGAGTCAGTCTGTCATTTGCATTCCTGACTCATACTGCGAAGAATGTGGTTTCATCAAATACTTGTAAAAACAGGAAATTTCGGTTTCTTGTCCTTAGAAGTAGGCAGACAACTGTTTTCTAGGATTCTTAGGTTCAGGGTAAGCAGATGAGGGGATAGGTGATTTTTCTTTCTACCTTGTCTGGTTCATCATAGTTGTATTTTTTTTTTTTTAAATTCTAAGGGACTTTGCAAAATAGGCAAGCCTTACAGTGTTTCTACTTTGACAGATTGTATTGAAAATGATAGATGTCTCAACAAGAATTTCGGTTTTAAAATAGCCAAAAGATTTGAACATTGTCTCCTTTTGGATGAGAATCGGGACACTGGGAGATGCTCAGTCAGCATCAGTAGTCATTAGGAAATGCAAATTATATAACCCCGCTGATAGACCATTGCAACATTGTTGGAATGGCTAACACTAAAGCCAGACAGAAGGTGACAACACCAAGTGACGTTGCGGTGGACAACTAGAATTGTCATGCAGTGCTGTAGGAGTGCAGAATGCTCCTTTCACTTTCGAAGTCAGTTTGGCAGAGTTTTATGAAGTGGGACGTGTCCCCCAGCTGCTCTGTTCCTAGGTGTGTACTGAGAGAGATGAGAGCATGAACTCTACACCAGACCCCTGTGTGGCTGCTTATGGCAGCTGTGTTCATAATCACTGGACACAGCGCAAATGCCGTCAGCTGGTAAAGGGGTAAAACAGATTTCCATGCCTCTATACCTTGGGATTCACTGTTGACAGAGACAACAGAGTAAGTGAATCTGCAACGTAGCCTACTAAGTGAAGACATAGAACCCCATATAATTAGGACTGCATTCACATGCGTTTTGGGAAAGACAAATCTAAATCTGTAAGAACAGTTAGATCAGTGGGCACCTGATGCTGAGGATGAGCTGTGGGAACTGATACAGAAGGGCTGTTGGAAACAGCCTGTGTCTTCAGTGTGGTGGTTGCTAGCAGAGTTGAGTGTTAAAACTCATCCAGCTGTGGGGCCGGCATTGTGGTGTAGCGGGTAAAGCTGCCGCCTGCAGTGTGGCATCCCATATGGGCGCCAATTTGAGTCCCAGCTGCTCCATTTCCGATCTGGCTCTCTGCTATGGCGTGGGAAGGCAGTAGAAGCTCCTGGCATAATGTGAGCTCCTTTTGGCTTCGTTTTTTAAAGAAAAAATGTATTTATTTATTAGAAAGTTACTGAGAGGCAGAGAGGTGGGTAGGTAGGTAGGTAGGTTGGTCTTCGATCCGCTGGTTCATTCTCCAGATAGCTACAATGGCTGAAGCTGGTGCCAATCAGAAGCCAGGAGCAGGAGCTTCCTCCAGGTCTCGCATGCGGGTGCAGGGGCCCAAGGACTTGGGCCATCTTCTACTGCTTTTCCAGGCCACAGCAGAGAGCTGGATTGGAAGTGGAGCAGCTGGGACTCGAACTGGTGCCCATAAGCACTTTAGGTGGCTTTACCTGCTACACCACAGCACTGGCCTTTTTAAAAAATGATTTTATTCATTTATTTATTTGAAAGAGTTAGAGAGGAGGAACATTTCTGTTACCCCACAAAGAAACCCCGTACCCACTAAGTGTTAACCTTTATTCCTCACTAGCCTCAGCCCAAGGAAACCATTCCTCTGCAGTCTTATTAAAGATACGCCGTTCTGGACTGCATGTCCAAGGCATCATAGAGTCTGGGGTCTTTGTGTCTGGCTTCCTCCACTTGCACAGTGTGTTCCAGGTTCACCCTTGTAGCACATGGCTGTGCTTCATGCCTTTTCATTGCTGAGTCACCTTTGGCAATAAACGTACTACATTTGCTTTTAGGATGCAGCTTGCCAAACTTCCTGACTTTTCTTTCTTTTGGCAGCAGTTTCCTGTGATTGCAGAGCCCAGGTTCTCAGCCTCCCCCTTGTTCCCAGACTGGAGACGTACCAAGGTAAGAGCTGCGGGTCAGCTCACCTGTCTGTGGCTCTCCGTCCTTGGAAGTGTCGGCTCCTGTTAGCACTGTGCTCGTGGCTCTGTTGCCTCTTCCCAGTTTTTCTGGAGGAAGTGTTGTGCCAGCTGCTGCATCGTTGTTTTCATTACAGGTGTTAGAGATGCGTTCCTGGTGAAGGGGGCAGGAGCGGTGACTTAGTTACCCACCACGCCCCAGTGAGCGAGGCCTTCACGGGGCTTTATGAGTTGAAGTACTTGGACAGCGCAAGAGTGGATGACTATGGGATTCCTTTTGTACCATAGGTGACACAAACATCCGTAGTAAAGCATTGATTTTGCTAACAAACTTTTAAAGTTTAGATATTTTTGAATTCAAGTGTTCTTGTGTCCAATGTAAAAAAAAAAAAAAAAAGGTCGTTTTGTTTCATTGAAAGTAGTTAATTTTAATTATTTTGCTTCTGGTTCTAAAGAACGATTAAATATCTTTATTCTTACAATGGAACTTTAGGGGCCGGCATTGTGGTGTAATGGGTTAAGCTGTTGCCTGCAGTGCCGGCATCCCACGTAGGTGCCAGTTCCCACCTGCTCCCTGCTAACATGCTTGGGAAAGCAGCAGAAGGTGACCCAAGAGCTTGGGCCCTGTACCCACGTGGGAGACTGAGGTGAAGCTCTGGCCCCTGGCTTTGTTCTGGCCGAGCCCTGGCTGTGGCAGCCCTTTGGGGAGTGAACCAGGTGATGGAAGACCTCTCTCTCTCTCTCTCTCTCTCTCTCTCTCTCTCTGTCTTTCCCTCTCTTTCTCTGTAACTCTGCCTTTTAAATGAATAAAATCTTTTAATAAAGCACTGAAATTAAATTAATATGTAATAAACTTTTAAAGAAACAAAAAGAATGGAACTTTAAAGACTGAGAGATTGTGCTTCACATATATTAGGCAGAAATATTTCTAGTTGTACAACCTCCCTAAGTGACATGCCCTGCCTGTGGGGAGCCCAGGGGCTGAGCAGGGTTGGAAGAGTGAATGTGGGGATGGATATGGTAGGGCAGGGCTGGAATTGGGTAAGGCATTTACCTCGTCTGAGTGGTGGTCAGAAAACTCAGTCATCAAGATGAATGATGATTTAATGTGATATTTTTAAAAAATAAAATCAATGAATTTATGATAAGTTACCAAATTTTAAAATAAAAATAGGGCCAGTATTACTCATTTTTCCTTTTGTCTCATGCTCAAGCATTACTTCTGATTCTGTTTTACTCCTTTATTTTTCTTTTTGAAGATTTATTTTAATTGTTTGAAAGGCAGAGTTACAGAGAGGGAGAGACAAAGAGAGAGGTGTCTTCCATCCGCTGGTTCACTCCCCAATGGCTGCAATGGCTGGGGCTGGGCCAGGCTGAAGCCAGGAGCTTCCTCCAGGTCTTGCTGCATTTCCTAGGCCATTAACAGGGAGCTGGATCAGAAGCCGGTACTGGAAATGGTGCACATCTGGGATTTTGGTGCTGCAGGTGGCGGATTAACCTTCTGCGCCACAACACCAACCACAGAATATTTTTTTCTGTTTAAAACATTTTTTTTAAAGTTTCATTTATTTATTTTAAATAGTTACACAGAGAAGAAGGAGAGAGAGAGGTGTCTTCCCAACCTCTGGTTCACTCCCTAATTGGTCACAACGGCCAGAGCTGTGCCGATCCGAAGCCAGGAGCTTCTTCTCGGTCTCCCACGAGGATTCAAGGGCCCAAGCACTTGGGCCATCTTCTGTTGCTTTCCCAGGCCACAGCAGAGAGAGCAGAGTGGAGCAGCTGGGACTCAAACTGGTGCCCATATGGGATGCTGGCACTGTAGGCAGCGGCTTTATCTGCTATGCCACAGTGCTGGTCCCCAGTTTAGGATATTTTCTAATTAATATTGTGATGTGTTATTTGAACAATGTATGATTTAGAAAGGTATTGTTTATTTGTGTTGAAGACTTTACTAGATGGTGTTTCTTTTCTTTTTGACTTATTTATTTGAAAGGCAGAGTTACAGAGAGAGAGAGAGAGAGAGAGAGAGAGAGAGAGAGGAGAGAGAGGGAGGGAGGGGGGAGGGTGGGAGATTTTATATTTACTGGTTCACTCCACACATGGCCACAATAGCCTAAGCCAGGAGCCTAAAACTTCAGCCAGGTCTCCCACTTGAGTGGCAGGAGCCCAAGTACTTGCTTTCCCAGGAGTATTAGCAGGGAGCTGAATTGGAAGTGGAGCAGCTGGGATTGGAACCTGTGTTCATTTAGGGTGCTGGTATCACGGGCAGGCCCTAGATAATGTTTCTTTAACGTAGTTGCTTTTTGTGTTCATTTATTCTATTGAACAGAAAGTACAAACTCATGATACAAACTCAGCATGAGAATGCACCGAGTCAGAAAGCTTCCCCTCTTAGCCATATCTTCCTTTCCACCACATTCTCTGCATGGAGCTACTTTTCTCATTGTAGTTCGTGCAATACAAGGAAATGAGTGTGAAAGTGTTTACACTCTTGATACCTTTTTTATTACTTAAAAATATAAGGGACTTTCTGGAGCTGGCATTTTGGTGTAGCAGGTTAACCCACCACCTGCAATGCCATCATCCCATATGGGCACCAGTTCTAGTCCCAGCTGCTCCACTTGTGATCCAGCTCCCTGCTTATGGCCTGGGAAAGGCAGCGGTAGATGGCCCAAGTGCTTGGGCCCCTGCTGCCCCCATGAACTCCTGGTTCTGCTGGCCCAGCCCTGGTTGTGTGACCACCTGGGGATTGAATCAGCAGATGGAAGGTCCCTCTTTCTCTGTCTCTCCTTCTTTGTACTCTGACTTTTAAATAAATAAATAAATAAATAATTCTTTTTTAAAAAAAAATCCTTGCATTTTAAGACTGGGAGCTGCCTTTTTAAAAAATAAATAAATAAAAATTTGAAAGATAAACAGAGAGAGACATGTTAAATCTGCTGGCACACTTCCCACATACCTGCAGTGGCCAGGTGTGGGCCAGACTGAAGCCAGCCTGGAACACAGCACATGTCTCCCACAGACCCCGGTGCTTGCCCCATCATCTGCTACCTCCCAGGGCGTGCTTCAGCAGGAAGCTGTAATTAGAGACAGCCTGGACTTGAACCTGGACACTAAGGGGTGCAGGTGGCCCAAGTGAGATAGTAACCGCTGTGCAGAAAGCCAGCTCCTACCTTGTGCATTTTATATTGTGCAGTGCTTTTTGCATTAACTAGCATTTTCCAGTGTCAATGGAAATTTTTCACCTAACACCATTTTTAAAATATTTGTGTATTCACTGTGATTTTCTGAGCTTTATTTATTGTCCTATTGGCCTGTAGGCTCTTCTGCATTTATCAGGATCACAGATAAACCTGTGAATCATTTAAGCCTCTTCTACCTTAAAGGAGGTTATTAAACCAGTCTATGAGGAATTAAGAACTGTAGCACTCAGATTTATGTCTTGTCTTCCCATCTGTTGTGAACTCCTTAGGGGCCAGGCCTTTGTCCCAATTGCTTAATTGCACAAGAACAGAAGATGCCAACAGTAATGTGCTTAGAGTGATGTGGAGCCTTTATCAGGTGGAGGTATTCCCAGAGCCCTTCATGTTTCTACTATCATTTGATTCTCATTATTTAACAACTATGAAAGAGACACACCAGTTTTAACTTCACGGATGACAAAACCAAGTTATAGAGAGAGATTTATTGATTTTTTTAAAAAAAGATTTATTTATTTGAAAGGTAGAGTGAGAGAGAGAGAGACAGAGAAAGAGAGAGAGAGAGAAAGTAAGTCTTCTGTCTGCTGGTTAATTTCCCAGATGGCTGCAATGGCCAGAGCTGAGCTGATCTGAAGCCAGGAGCAGGAGCTTCTTCTTGGTCCCCACGAGAGTGCAGAGGCCCAAGGACATGGCTCGGCTTCCTCTGCTTTCCCAGGTGCATCAGCGGGGAGCTGGATCAGAAGTGGAACAGCCAGGCCTTGAACCAGTGCCCCTATGGGATGCCGGAGCTACAGATGGTGGTTTGACCCAGGACCCTGACAGTACAGGAGCCTAGAGAACGGTTTTAAACAACGTGCCTAGGAGCCGTGTTCAGTCCCGTGATTAAGACACGTGCACCACCTCTGCGGGACTGGATTGGGTTCCTGGGCTCTGGGCCTGCCTCTTGCTTCCTGCAAATGCCGGCCCTGGAAAGCAGCTGTGCCTGCTCAAGGAAGGGTTGCGGCCACTCCGGGAGATCGAGGTTAAGTCCTTGCTCCCAGCGCTGGTCCTTTAGGCTGCCATTGCAGCCACTGGGGAGTGAACAAGGAAATGGGCTCTCCCTCCCCGCCCCCCCCCCCCCCGCCTCCTTCCCTCTCTCAGTCCCATTCTCCCGCCTTTCCTGCCTCCCTCTCTCCCTTTCTCTCTCTGCCTCAGATAATTTTTTAAAAAAATATTTATTTCTTTATTTGAAAGGCAGAGTTAGAGAGAAAGACAGATCCTCCGTCTGCTGGTTAGAGAGAAAGACAGATCCTCCGTCTGCTGGTTTACTCCCCAGATGGCTGCAGCAGCCAGGCCTGAGCCACACTGGAGCAAGGTGCTTCATCCAGGTCTCCCACATGGGTGACGGGCCCAGAGCCCACGCACTTGGGCCATTCCCTGCTGCCTTCCCAAGTGCACCTAGCAGGGAACAGACAGGAAGTGGAGCAGCAGCAGCGGTGTCCATATGGGATGCTGGCATTGCAGGCGGCAGCTTAACCTGCTGAGCTGTGGTGCCAGACCCATCAATCAGACCCTTGGCCCCCCCAGAAACCTTTTATTTAAGGAATACGAACTCCATGCATTTCATACATACAACTTTAGGAACAGAGTGATTTTTCCCACTGTACCTGCCCTCCCAATCACACTCCCACCCCTCCTCCTCTTCCCTCCCCTCCTCCTCTTCCCTCTCCTA